AATTTCCCTTTGAAAAATTGCCAACTGTCTTCAATTGCTTTTCCTCTTCATCTTACTTCCCATGGATCTCACCTGTCAGTTCCCAGGGTATACTAAAGTCAGCCTTCTTGAAATTTGTTGTATTTATTTTGCTGCTCTACCTTCTACCACTTCTTAGAATTATGAACTCTATCATTTCATTATCACGTTCACCCAAGCTGCCTTCCGCTTTCAAGTTAAAAACCAGAGCTAGTCAAGAATTTTTCTATGTTTGGTTGAAAAAAAATGACAATCTGTTAAAACTGAAACTTCATGAGAGGGTTAGTTTTGATAAATTTCCTGTTTTGAAAAAACTGTGAAAAAGTTTTGAAACTCAAAACATCCCACTTCAACATTTTGAAATAAATTCTGGATTTTGGATCACAGCAGCTTTTCATTTTGAAATTTGAGTGACTTATAATCAACATCAAAACTAAGCGTTTCAAAATGATCAAAATGAAATATTTCAATTAACACAAACCAAATTTAAAGTTTCTTCACTTCACAACATTTTTGAGATTTTAACATTTCATCCCATTTTGGAAGGGGAAATAGGTTTGAAATCTCAAAAATGTTCCTAGGATAAGAGAAGCATTTTCTTCCCTGCTCTTTAGTAAACGTTATGGGACTATGAGTCCGGTCTATTAACTTTATTTAGTATTAGGTTGATTTGGGTTTTTATCATAATATTTTGCATTATTGAACATGTTTGTTTAGTTAGTATTTGCTCTGTTAAGGGAGGTGGAGGAAAGGTTATTGCCCATTTAAGAAGCAATTTGTGAGTTTGTTTTAAATTCTGTGTCTGTTATGGCTATAATGGCTAAGAAAATTAACAGTATTTATTGACCATCAATACAGGGCTAAATTATGATGTAACTATTGAAATTATATAGTTTACTGAACAACCAGAAAAGTATAAAATTGGCATAAACATGTAGCTACTTAAGATTGTTTTTGAGTAAGGGATCAACATCCAACTATGCAGAAAGAGCAGTAAGAACTATGGAAGCAGCAATGATTCATTCTGTTCAAGAAAGAATTCACTCTGATTGTCTCGGATATACTCTGTCTTTTAGACATCCAGTTTTATAAAGCTGAATTATCTAAAACTAGAATCTAATTTTGTGCTTAATAGGTGCTAGAATGTTCAGCCCTTATTGATCTTGCTTTTCCATACACTCCAGATGTCCTTCACAGCCTAAGTGAGTTTTTTAGACAGTACTCCAGACTCTGAACCAGATTAGCTGCCAGAAATACAGACACTAATTGACCCTTGAACAGAGAACTTCAAATGGTGCAGGGACAGCATGAAGAAAGCAGCGAGATCCAAGGCTGAAAATTGAGTCCTAGGTCTTATCACTTATTTGAAATTAATTTCTGAACTACTTCACTCTCTGCTCAACTATCCTCTACTGCTGGCTCCAAGGCACACCATTCCTCCATTCGGTATGAATTCAGTTTTACACTATGAATTGAATCTGGCTTTTACACACTTAGGCTACGTCTACACTGCAGAGCTATTTCGGGAGACCTCTGGTATCCCAAAATAACTACTCGGTGTCTTCAGAGCAAGCCTGTTATATCGAAATATAACAGGATCACTATTCTGATGTACCTGTAAATCTCATTGCACAAGAGTTAAGGGATGTTTTGGAATAGTGATTTATTTCTAAATTACCTTGAAATAAGCTATCCAATTTGCCTAGCAAAAATTGAATAGCTTATTTCGAGATAAGGGTGCTGTGTAGACACACCCTTATAGACAGAACTAGAAACTGGACCCAGAAACAGAACATCAACTGACTCTTAAACTGGGACAATTCTTGATCATTCTTTTTCTCTGGCAAACCTGTTAAAAAGACAAATATTATTTTTATTTCCTTCCAGCAGGGCAGGCCAATTTCTAGGAGGGAAATCACCTTCTTTTCAGGCTACTTGCTTTGACCAAACACCGGAATCAGCCTGACTCTAGTAAGATTCTCTTGCACAATAGGATTCCACTTTTCTTTTCAAGTGCAGCCTTTTCATATCTGTGTTAAGGATTCATGCAACTTGTTTAGCAGCATGACAGTCCTGTAAAGCTCCTGACTCATTCTACCAAGTTCCATCACAAGATCTTTTTCTTAATAACCAGCCAATAATTGCCTTCCTTATCCTCTAAAGAGCAAATTTACCTTTCACATCAATGGGCTAAACTGCTTTGATACTAAAGATTTGCTCAATGTGACTATTAAATAGATGAAAATCGGGGCCAGTCAAAATAGAGGAACCCTCTTTCAGTTCCCAAGTATCCCAGTTCCTCTGGTATCCCGGAAAAACTCTGCCACATCCAAAGAATGCGTCTGCTTTTCTGAATTTTTTTTTTGGAAGAGCAAACACATTTTTTTGGCATGCTTGTAAACCTCATTTCATGAGGAAGGAGGAATGTGCTGAAAAAAGGTTTTTTTCTGTGTAGATGGGCCAAATGTCAGAAAAGCCTCTTCAGACAAAAGAAGCGGAAAAAGGTACTCAAATTGTGTACCTTTTTCTGGAAGAACACCACAGTGATACATGATATATATATTCTCTTCTAGTTAGCTTTTGGAAAGAATGTAGCCCCTCTTCTAGCATGTGCTGAGAGAGTGTTCCCTTAACTCAAGCAAGCAATGAAGGTCTGTATTTTTTGGAACTGAGGAACTAGAGTTCTATTCTGAGCAAAATTCTGCTGACCTTAGATCCTTTCAATCCAGCCCCTTGTTAAAGTCCTCCCCTGGGAAGAGTTAGAGGCCAAGTATTCCTGCTCCCACTCCTCTTGCCTTATAAACTTGTACCAGGGCTTTACAAAGGTGCTGGTATCTTTTTTTTTCTGTCCATTTTCTCTGATCTCTCACTGTGCCTGGTTTACTGTTTGGCTTTTTTTCCCTATTTGTCATCTTTTTTTCTTTTCTGTTTAGTGCCAGTCCCCTTTTGGCTACTTCTTTTCCTCTTCCTTCCTCCTCAGGTTACCTTCATTCCCCTCCTCATTCCCAGTTTACCACAAAGATAGGACTACTGCATTGGCATGGAGAGAGAGGAAGGGGTCCAGAGAAGACAAACCTTGGCTGTTGCATTGCTTCTTGAACTTTCAGCCCTGTGTACAGCAGCTGCTCCTGTAGCCAGCTACATTAGACACATACCATGTACAGAGAGGAAAGCTGGGTGACTTTCAAAGAACTACCTGAGGCCTTACCTGCAGACCTCTGCAACTGGAAGGTGTAGTTTCCAGCACAAGTAGAAAGACTTGCACTAATTGTGATTGAGTTACCATGCTAAAAATAGAGGTGTAGCTATTCTGGCAAGTAAGACGAGCCATTCTGAATACAATCCAGTCCAGACACTAGGTATGTACTCAGGATGACTAGCTCCTCCCACTGCTTGTGCTGCGATCGCTTTACTTCCATTTTTAGGTTGCTAGCTCAACACTGATGGAGGTACATCTGCTTGGGCTAGAAGTTAAACCTTAATGCAGACATACCTAAAGTGTCAGGGGAGTGAGGAGAATTTGGGCTCTGCAGCTTTCCAGTGATCTCCTCTGCACTCTATCCCTCCTCCTAACTATTCTCCTTCCAGGGTTGCCCACCACAAAGTTGGTTGGTATTCTGCTCCCTTCCACATCTGCTCTCGGGTACAGCTCCTCCTGCCTTAGAATAAGGCTAATTAGAGATGCTGACCCCATGCCCTCTGGGGACACTCAAGGCCCAAACTTTAGCAGATCTGTGACAGAGCATGGGCAACTCTCCAATCCCTCTGTGCCTTACAGCTCTGCCGTCTGTGGTTTTTGCAAGGATTGCAACTACTGCTGCGAGACCTTCCAGCCTGGCCAATGCCAAGGATTGCAGGGGAGACCTCCAGACTTAAGAGTGAGTTTTCACAGTTTGAGCTATAGTCCCAGGTTCTGTAAAGACCCAGGTTCTGTAATAGATGATCCTTCTCTATGGATCAGGCACAGAGGAAGACACAAAATATGCAGTTGAACCCCAGGGGGTTATGTTCCGACCATCCATATAGAAGTGCTCAAATTCTTCTAGTCCTTTTCACACAGATCCTTTCAATAACTCTTTGAAATGCCTTTTTTGCGAGGGATGTAACTTGTGGAGAGACTTTTCTCTGTATAAAATCAAATGCAAATGCTAAGACTTCCTAGCTGCAGCATTAGGCATAGTTCAGGGCTACAGTAGAGTTCACTTTCAAATGAGTTTAATGTTGTGACTGTTCCTTTGGGTGTGGGGAGGAAATGTGGATTTCAATCCTTTAAAATTCTGTCTTGCTCTGGTCACAGAACAGGGTTTGTAACTGTACAACTACTCTAAAGCACGGTAATTGCTAGCAGGGTTCTAACATAATTTCTCCGTACCCATGTTGCATCTGTTATAAATCTGTGCTATGAAGTGCTAGTTGGCATAGTTTATCTAGTACCCTTCTCACCATCCCTTCCCATTTTCTGTCTCCCCCCTTCCCACCATATCACTGGTAATACTGGTTTGGGAAACTGAGAAAAATCTCCTATTGTGAACTGTGCTTAAATGTGTTCATAGCTAGCACAGTCCTGATCCGCATGTGGACCAGGCTTTCATGAAATCCGAATACTATAGAAATCTAATCATGAAGTCACTTTGTGTCCAAGCACATAACAGAATCAGTCACTTTTATGCTAATAACCTTGCCTTTTAGATTAAAATGCATCAGAAAGAGCCTTGTTTACTTTGAAGCACCTATTGTTTTCAACCTTAAAAAAAAATCCTACTGTTGATTTAAATAAGCCTTGTTCACTTTGAAGCACCTATTGTTTTCACCCTTAAAAAAAAAATCCTACTGTTGATTTAAATACCAGGATTCTAAAGTGTTCTTAGAGCAAATGTACAGCAGTGAAAGCAGGCTAATAAACTAGGCATAATTGGCTTATTTATAATAGATTCTGACTTCAAAAATGAACATTAAATAATGGCAATTCTGTTTCTTTCCAGCGCTCAGGTGGGGCCTTAGCTATTCCATTATGTGCATTTCAAGGGACTGTATCTCTCCATGCACCCACGGGGAAAACTCTCTCCTTATCTACCTATGAGGTAAGCACTGAAGGGCAAAAAATAACACCCACATCAAAGAAAATTGAAGTATATCGATCCAAGAGTGTTGGTCATGAGCCAAACCCTGAGGACTCTCCTACCACACTTGCAGACACAAATGTTAAAATTCATTTGGAAGTGCTTGAAATTTGCGACAATGAAGAGGCCATGGATACTGTATCAATCATCAGTAATATCAGCCAGTCCTCCACCCAGGTCAGGTCCCCGTCCTTGCGTTATTCTCGGAAAGAAAACAGGTTTGTTTCTTGTGATTTAGGAGAAACTGCTTCCTACTCTCTTTTTATACCATCAAACAATCCTGACAGCGATATTAACATATCAATTCCAGATACCGTTGAAGCTCATAGGCAGAATAGTAAAAAGCAGCATATGGAAAGAGATGGTTATCAGGAAGAAATACAATTGTTAAATAAAGCATACAGAAAAAGGGAAGAAGATGGCAACAGCAATTAAAAGACACTTAGTGTAGTAAATCTGATTTGACTGACACGCCTCCTCTGACTCAACTGATCTATCAAACACAATGACTTTTCTCTTCTGTAACATAATTTTATTTTGGTTTGGCTATGCCAATAAGCAGGTTTTTAAAAATGTATGGATGGGAAACATCAGACAATTAATTGCTTTTATAGTGTTGATTGCAGAATTATAACACTGGTGATTGTTCTTGTGTTTTGGTTTTGTTACTATAATTTCTAAAACTTTTTCTGAATAGATGCTTAGAAATTGCTTTGGTTGCTTGTTAGTACTGGGAAATCTACCTATGGAAACTTGAGAAAACTGAATTATCAAACCATTCACATCCAAGGAAAGATTCTTAAGGTTTTTGACCTTTTGTCACAATTCTGCTATGAGTCCAGTGCCTGAAGTATTGATCAGAAAAAAAAATAGCTAACGCCAGAAGATGAATATAGGGTTTGGTTAAATACAGGATTAAAAGAGGCCTCAGTGCTTTTCAGTTTCCACTGTTGTGTACACAATTCCTACGTACCACATAAATAATTAACTGTTATAATATCAACATTGAATCCGGGTAGCTGGAATGTAAGCATGCACATTCTGTAAATATGGTAACGTATTTCCACAAAGTTCTAACTGCTCAACATTCCTTTCACAAGTGTATTAATGTTCAGTTTACTAATCCCATGGAATCTAAGGAACCCCCTTGCTGCCTCCACCATCTCTCCCCATGTAAGAAAAAGAAACTTTCCAATCTTACAGGGTGTCCATACTTGATTCAAACAAAAGTCATGTTGGCAACATACCAGGGGACACATCATCATGCTTCATTTGCATCAAATTCAGTGGCCTTAATCTTTAAAGGTTACCAAGGCCAGAGTCACACCCATGCAAGTAATCACTTAGACAGTGTAAGTGACATGCACCCCACCTCTTCAGAGGCTGCCAGGGAGGGTGTGATGCATGGAACAACCCTCAGAGATGCCCTAACTTGCACCTGTGTTACAATAGTCCTTACAGGCCATTGCAGGGTTACACTATGACTGAGGTAAAAGTCTGTCCCAGCTACACATCCTCCTTCAAGGGCTATGTTATCTCTTTCCTCCACGGCCTGCCCAAAAAGGCTGAGAAGGAGGAGCCTGCTGCAGAGCTGATAGAACCAGAAGGGTGGGATTACACTTGTTCTTTGACACTGTTGTATCAATCTAGCAAAGGCCTGTAGAAAAATGATGCATCAAGCTCTTGGGTTTAGCTGAAAGAGAGTTGGTAGGGTACATTTGCACAGTATATGTGATGCCCTAATACTTTGTAGAGTTATAATGATCCCACATTTTTCAGAAGTGAAGTCTAGAGAAGACCTAAAATTCTAAGAGTTGGGGAAAATGAGCCGAAACTCTTTCAGACTGTCATTAGAGACCATAAAGAAGTAAAACAAACCCCAGACCTACTTCATTTTTCTTTGCAGTTAACCCACAGTATGGAGGTGTGAACAGCAATGACCTGGTTCCTCTCTCATTTACACCAGTGTAAAGCAGAAATAATGCCATTGAAATAATGGGGGTTGCACTGGTGTTTATCTGAAGAGAATCAGGCCCAAAGCAGTATATAAACTGATGAAGAAAGACCATGCTGGGCTAGGAGTTGTGGTTTAATGTGCTACCTTTTCATACTGAAATGGAGGGTGGCAGTGCTTTTTTTTGGGTAAAAAAAAAAAAAGTGCCGGTACTCCAGAGGAAAAGTTGTTGAGCTCTGACTGGAGGTGCTGGTACTGCGTACCGGGCTGTACTGTCACAAAAAAAGCACTGGAGGGTGATAACACTCCAGCTGCGTCTTCATTTCAGATTTAACTAGAAACAAGATTGTAAGAACAATCCATTCTAAGCTCTATTCCATAAATGTATTTACTTATAAATTAGAAACTGGCACCCTGCCATTTTTTCAGTTCCTGCTTGCTGCTGTTTTGCACAGAAAGCAGCCAGTAGGAGGGCAGTGTAGGAACACAAAGCTTGGTACAATATGACCTTCTCATTCAATTCCAGTCTCAAACACCAACTCACAGGATTATAAACATATCTTGCTGGATACAAGAAGAAGACACAACATGCTTTAAATTTGGAATGTTTGGCTCAAAAATGAGGCAGCAGCCTTTCTCATGGCCTTTTTCAGCACAGGAAAAAATCCCAACTATGTTTACACATATGCTTTTCTCAGTGCAGTGATGTATTAATCTATAGACAACATCACTCCAGGCCCAGGACAAGAGGAAATGAGGGGTGAAATCCAGATACCAAGGCTACGTCTACACTTCAAATTTTTTGTGCAAAAACTCACTACAAGCGAATTTTTGCACAAGAAAAAGTACAGTAGATCGTCAGAAGACAGGGCTTTTTGTGCAAGAGTTATTCCTCTTTGAGGAATATGCCTTTCTGCGCAAGAAAAGGCAGGTGTGGACGGATATCAGAAAAAGCACAGGTGCTCTGATGACCATTCTGTGAATGGCCATCAGAGCTTTCTTGCGCAAGAGCATCCATGGCAGTGTGGACACTCTCTTGCACAAAAGCACATCTCTTGTGCAAAAGCACAGGGCAGTGTGGACACACTCTTGTGCAAGAACTTTTTGCGGAAGAGCTCTTCCACAAAAAGTTCTTGTGCAAGAAGTCTGCGGTGTAGAGGTAGCCCAAGATTGAAAAGTTATATAGAGATGGAATCCTTTTAAAGTAGCTCCACTTTCCTTCTGCTTTGACTTGGTGGTTTGTTTTGCTACTGCCCACTGACTGCAATCTGATTACTTGAATGTGTATCCAACGTGTGCCTGAATGTATTTTAAAGTTTTAATTCCCAAATTCAGCACCAATACCCTAGATAGCATACAGATTGCAGTAACACACCCACTGAGGAGTAGACTAGAGGCAGGCCTGACAACAAAGGGGGCAAATGGAACAACTGCCCTGGGACGTGGCGATTCAAAAGGGCCCAGGGAGCCCAGCCACTGCCACTATTGCTGCAGCAGCAGATGCACCCAGAGTCACAAGCCCTTTAAATTGCTCCTGGAGCACTGTGTGGCACTCCGGCAGCTCATAGAACTGGCTGTGAGATGGGGGGGGGGGCACTCCAGGCAA